ACATATGTTTTATTTATGTAATGAATATTACATCAAATTAAGTAATGAAGATTGCACATGTAATCTCAGTTACATTACATTAATCCAAAAAAGTCTAACTAAACATTGTAATCATTCTTGTAATGTAATCATTCTTGTAATGTAATCCTCATTCTATTACATGGTTGATTACATCATACCAAACATTACTTAATTTTTTTTATGATTTTTAAATTTCTCAAAAATTTAATAAAATTCTTGAATTGAAAATGATTTGTAAGGTTTGAGTTTGTATTAAGGAGGGAGCTATGAGGTGAGGCAATTATCCCATTTCTTTTTCAAAACAAAAAAAAAGCCTGACTCTGGAAATATTTGAACTCAAATCAATAATAAATTCAAAAATTACTCTAATTGTCTCGCTCGCTGAACATATCATTGAATTCCTGAATTTTGACAAAAAAAAAATTGTAGCACTTTAAACTTCATTTTTTACTGAATTCACACTTTTTTTATACTAAAAACAATAAATTTTAAGGATTTTTGTTTTTATATATAAAATATTGATTTGATATGTGGTTAATATAACTTTGGGAACAATAATTATAGATTTTTTAATTTTTCCATAAGTATTTAATCGATCTAATTTTATAAGTTGAGATGTACAATAGATCAAATAAAGTATTTAACAAATACAATTTTATAAATTCAAGTGTTTAATGGATAAAAAAAAAAGTTACGGGTGCCACAAGATTTTTTGTGAAAAATATAAAGGTGAATTTATGTATTTCACTCATCTTGCCCATTTGATGCCGGAAATTTTCATAGCGTTTTAGAATGACAGAATATATGAATTCACCCTTAAACTTCTTTACTTTAACCTTATATTACCCTCAACTTTTACTTTATCCCATCAAACACTTCAACTTATAAAAGTGCCTCTATTAAACACTTTAATTTTTAAAATTATGTTATTGAATACTTTAACTTGCAAAATTAGATCAATTAAGTACTTATTAAAAATTTAAAAATTATAAAAATTATTATTTTAAAAATTATAAAAATTATTATTTTAAAAGTCATGCTAACTATATATTAAGTCAATATTTTATAAATAAAAGTCAAAAATCTTAAAAATTATAGATATTAGTGTCGAAATGTGTGAAATATTACCAAAATTCATAAATTCTAGTGCATAATAAGTCATCCATAAAGTTAAGTGCCTCAAAGTTGAAATTGTAAAGTTAGTTATGTGTTCAGTTGTTTTAGAGCATCTCCAATGAAACGCGGATTGCTCTTATTCAATTGCTACATTAGAAAAACAGATAGACTTTTTGAACAATGCTCTCTAATGCTAATGTCTATTTAAGATGTGAAGCTGATTGACAGTGATTTTCGCAAGTGTACGAAGTCGCAGCAAGTAATATAGAGTAAGAGAGTATCGTATCCACAGGGATTGTATATCAAGTACCAAAATCAAAGTAACCAAAAATTAATGTTTAACCTATTATTATTTAAACGATAATAAGAGAAGATATGTTGCAAGGGATAGGTTTGAAAATAAAAACAGAAAGAGACAAAGCAACAAAATTTAGATGAAAAAAAAATCAGGGATTTTAAACTACTAGGGAATTTAATAATTTCACTTAAATTCTACCAGTTTAAATGTTATTAGTTATTTATCAATTTTAATTGTTCAAAGTAGGAAGAATAATCCTAAATCACTAACAAGCTTCTCCCGATGTATTGGTTAGCTATTCCTAATCTTAGTCAATTTACTATCTCCAATAGCGATAATCAAACATAAATTAAATCATTGAGTTTTTTGTGATTGGTTTTTGTGGAAATTCATAACTTAAGGTCATTAACTATGAAACCCCCCTTGAAGTCAAAACCATTGGCTTCCGCATCAAAGTTATATTCTTCAAGTAAATTTATTAATCTTTTTCATATCCAACAACCCTTCCCGATAGTGATTAATGAATAGTTCAATCCAGGGGAAAAATTCTGCCTGGAAGCCCTTAAAGCTCATAATAAAATGTATAACAAGAACAATGAAAAACAAAATTCTAATATTATAAACTGGAATCGAAATTAAAGTTACATCAAATCTCTAGTATAAGAGTTTAGCTTAGACATAGTTAATTAAATAAAACTCATTAAATACTGAAATAATCTTCATAATCATAATAAATAAGCAAGAAGAATAAAGATTCAGAAGTTTAAGAGATAAAAACTAGGTAAAGCTTAGTGGACGGCTTTCTTGAATCTTGGACACAATTTGACGCTTGAGACCCCTTGAGAGGAGAGAGAATTTGCAGGATACATTTAAAACGAGATACTAATAATGAAAAGTTTCCCTCTTTATATAGAGTCCTGAAAAGGCAAAATCTGACTCCGTTTAGGAAATAGAATCTTATTAGTACAAAATCTTCTATAGGAGATCAATGAATGTTTTAGGCTTGGATTTCTTCTTAGTTAGGACTCCTTTCTCTCCAAAATAGGGTCTAGGTCTTGTTAGTACTTTAGGAAATCTCAGCGGGCCCAGTGACGAAAAGATTGGATTTGCGTTTTAGTTCACGCAGTTCTGCCTTCGAAGCATCGGCGTGCTATGATGCACGCTTGGGCGTGCTTAAGTCTGGAACTCTGGATGGTTGAGCCGGGTGTGCCTAGGGCAGGCACACCCTGATGAATCTTTGTGGCACGGGCATGCCCAATAGCACAGGCTAGGCGTGGCTTGTTTCTGTCTTCGCCAGCTAGAATTTGTCATGGGCTGCTAGCTAGCACGCCCTGAGTTTCTTCTGGCACGGGCCGTTGCCTTTCTGCACGCCTCAGGTGCTCACTCCTGATTTCCCTTGAATTTCCTTAGTTTTTAGCACGGTTGTGCTTTTATAAGCACGGGCTGGGTGGTAGGCGGGCATGAGTATTTTGCCATGTTAATGCCTTTCTGTGCCAAAACCCCTGCAAATTTCCTCTCAGATATTCAAGTGGGTTATGATCAAGGAGCTTTGAAATTATACTAAAATGAATTTAAAAACAAATCAAAGTGATAAAATTTACTAAAATTCTAATAAAAATTATACTAAAAATACTATAAAACTAACACCTATCACTTATGTGTAAAAAAAAGTCAATAGACATTACCTACTACATCTTCTATTTCTAGACGGTCTCTTAAACAATATTAACATTTATTACTCTTTAGTGATTAATAGCATATTAAGTTATAGGACCATAAAGGAGAGAAAAAAGAAAATAGAAGAAGATTCAAAACTAATATATTGGAGAGAGTTTTTTTAAAATTCACTATCTGTAAATAGACATTCAACCACATCATCATTCACACCTCCTATTTCATATGACACATTAGTCATAATCCATGTTAGCACGAGAGATCATCTTATAATGTTTATAATTTTTATTTCTAAATTCTAAAAAGAAAATGACAGAGAGAATCAGCTAGCCTAACCAGCCAGTAAGCCACTGAATGTAGGCATGGCCACGGGTTCGGTTCTAACCAGAATTGAACCAAAATTGAGCCATACTGTAGACGAATCAGAATTGGACTGGAATTGGGGGTTTAAAATTTTGAACCGGAACCGACGGTTCAAGAGCCGGTTTAGATTCATGTGAATGTTAAAAAATGAACCTGAACTGGCTCAAAATTGGCGATTAACCGGCGGTTTGGTCCGATTCGAACCAGATGCACAAACAAAATTATTTGTAGCTTAAAATTTTTTATAAAAAAATTTATATCACTTGATTTGATTGTAGTTGATTTGATTTATAATGAAGAAAAGTACAAAATGGTACATAATTTATAAAAAGCGGTGAAAAAAGTACACATGATTTGACTTAATTTATACAAAAAAAAAAATGGTACATGAATAGTTGATTTGTAAAAAAAAAATAATTTTATGTATACCAAAAAAAAGTTACAAATGGCTAGTTGATACTTGATAGGTGAATTTTACTTTTTTATTTTTGGTAAATAAATTTTATTCATTTTTAATCAATTATTTATTTATTTATTATAATTTACTAAATTATCCAAAAATATAGTTTATAATTTACTAATTAATCCAAATAATATAGTTGTTATTTTTTTTGTTTTATAAGAGACCATACAATTTGGGAAACTAATAAATGAAAAATATGTATAAATATGATGAGTTGATGATTTTTTTCACAACCAATTATATCCTAACTCTCCTTTTATTTCTCAATCAAAATTCTCTCAAATTTAGATAGTTCACTATTTTTTCTATTGCTTTATTTTCCTTAATATTGAAATTATCTATTGTTTATTTTTTATTTTCATACATCCAATTCTAAATTTCTTAAAATTAATTGTAATAATTGGGAGGTTATTTTCAATTGTAATAAAAAAAAAAAGAACTACGTGGGTTTTGATTTTCTCTAATTCCTAAGAGGATACGTAGCAATTAAATTAAAAATTTTCAATTTTAATTTAATTCAAGCCCAAAAAAAATTATAATTTTCTATATTAGTGAATTAGCAAAATTTATAAATTTAATTATAAATTTAAAATGTAATTAATAGTTCTAAGTTAGATAAGAGTTTTTCTTTTAAAATTTTTATAATAATTTATTTAGTTAATAATCTAAATGATTTTTAAATTATTAATTTTATTTATGAATTTAAAAATTAAAATTTTTATTATTTTTTTAAAATTAATATAATAACGAAACCTGAATTAGAAACCGTAATTCAAACGTGTCAAATTCATCGAAATCATACCAAAACTGAAACGGGCACGGAATTTTAAAATTATTATTTATTTATGAATTTAAAATTAAAATTTTATTATTTTTTTAAAATTAATATAATAACGAAACCGAATTAGAACCGTAATTCAAACTGTCAATTCATCGAAATCATACCAAAACTGAAACGGGAGGATTAAGAATCGGTTTTAGTTCAAAATTATAAACATCTCAAATCCGCCGCTCGTGACCCGCTATGCCCAACTGAATATAAGTAGTGGAGTAACACACGTGGCCCGAATGTAATCCATTTGAGAGAACTACGTGGCATACTGCTATCCATTGTTCTTTTCAATTCAGTTCTCATATGTCTTCTTCCACTTGCTTCTCTTCCTTTCTCTCTCCTGCCTCAAACGACCAACAATGGCGTGGCGACTCCCAACTCAGTTAGCAACACCTGGCAAACTCCACCATAACCATAGCCACCGTCAATTAGCTGTCTTCACTCACTCCAACTCACTGGCATGGCGGCGCAATTTAGCACCAGACACTCTCTTTTCTCTCTCCGCTTCATTTCTTTCTAGAGGTACCTATTTACTTCTTCACTCTTTTAACATTATGATCAACTAACATCTCCTGTTTGTCTTTGCTTACTATTTTGATTTTGGATTTGAAGGTAAATGTGATGTATGGTCGAGACTGACTTGCAATGCAAGTGCGGCGGAGGCAACGGTGCCTGCAGCTGCAATGAATCTGGCACCGGGGACTCCAGTAAGGCCGACGAGTATACTGGTGGTTGGAGCCACCGGAACTCTTGGAAGGCAAGTTGTCCGGCGGGCGCTTGATGAAGGCTACGAAGTACGCTGCCTTGTCAGGCCACGTCCTGCTCCAGCTGATTTCCTTCGTGATTGGGGCGCCACTGTCGTCAATGTCTGTTTCTCTCTTCCTCTTAATAAAATTATCTATTCTCTCTTCTTATTAAGTTCTATAATAGTGTGTATTTAATGAGCAGGCAGACCTTAGTAAACCAGAGACCATACCAGCAACATTGGTTGGGGTTCATACAATTATCGACTGCGCAACAGGACGGCCAGAAGAGCCCATCAAAACGGTTAGATATTTGCGGATTCTTTATTTGATTTGTGATTGAAAATGGGTGTTAATTGGCCTTAAAGTCTAATTCATGTCTTCTGTTTAGGTAGACTGGGAAGGAAAAGTTGCTCTTATACAATCTGCAAAAGCAATGGGAATCCAGAAATATGTGTTCTATTCTATCCATAACTGTGACAAGCATCCTGAAGTTCCACTAATGGAGATCAAATATTGTACTGAGAAATTTCTTCAGGATTCTGGCCTTAATCACATTATAATCCGGTTATGTGGTTTCATGCAAGTAAATGTCTTCGAGGCTCAATTCTCTTGCATACTTTATGATTTTTTTTTTTTTTTTTTTCTCAAGATAGCTGATCGCCTGCACTTGAACCAGTGAATTGCTTATCCTTTTATCTGCATTACCTGGCACTAAACCATCTGCTGAGTTACCAGTATCTGTGTCTATCTCTCAGCTTGAGTACCCCTATTCCTTTTGATTGATTAATCCCACCTTCAATGCCAATTCCTTTTTCCCTCAATGAAACATAAACACCTTTTTTTTTGACATAAAATTCTGATCTTATGAACGTTTAGAATTGTCTTGGAATGATTTTATGCACCAAAAATTTTCTATAAGTTATACATGTGACCCTTCAAGCACGAATTTTTATGTTCTCTAAATGGATCCTGGCCAGGAAACATGATGCCTGAAGCAATTTGTCATCATTCTGTTGATGGTCATAGATGATTGATGATTCTTCCCAATTTTGCATGGTCTTGCCATTAGCCTTCATATTATCTTTCGATGCTATTCATTCAACTGTTGAGTCCAAATACTTGTTGCTAATTTGTCAGGGCCTCATCGGGCAATATGCAGTACCTATTCTAGAAGAGAAATCTGTTTGGGGAACAGATGCACCCACAAGGATTGCTTACATGGACACCCAGGTTATATTTATGATTGCTTCCGTGATTAGATTTTGTGGAGAAAACTAAAAGATGTTGTATCTCTAATTGCTTTCTGATTAAGCAGATTTCTGCATTTCATGTTTAGGATATAGCACGATTGACATTTATAGCATTGCGAAATGAGAGCATAAATGGGAAGCTTCTCACTTTCGCCGGTCCTCGAGCATGGACAACCCAAGAGGTAAACTATTAAACAAAAGCATTATTAAATGATACATCAACATTGTTCTGTTTTGGTGGTATTACCTGGCTTTGTTGTCAATTTGGAAACGCTGTCAGGCTGTCGCTAAAGCAAAGTGTTGTTTTACCTGGCCTTTCTAATCAATTATCTCTTGGAATCTTGAGTTAATAAATGGCTGGAGTCATATTGTTCTAACTATAGGGAAACAAAAAAGCAATGAGCTTATTTTTCGCTTGTCTATAATCTGCCAACTATTTAAACCAATACCAATTTGTTTAGATGGTGGTTCTGATTTCCAGGTTTGTTTACTTTTGTAGGAATGTGAATGTTCATTTCCATTCCATCAAAAAGCTAATGCTGCATTCTGTTCCTTCTATGCTAATCATGCTGTCTTGGTTTTAGGTCATCACATTGTGTGAAAGGCTGGCAGGGCAGGATGCAAATGTTACCACAGTTCCAGTTTCGATCTTAAGATTAACCCGTCAACTGACTCGGATTTTTGAGTGGACAAATGATGTTGCTGATAGATTGGCATTTTCGGAGGTAATAACTTCTCATTCTTCTGTAAACTTTCAAGCTATCCAGCATGAAGCAAGATAGCTATCTGTTCTTTCTTTTTATCACTTTAAAGCATTCTAAGGTCATTCAAACAATAAAAATTTGCTCCAAAAGTCTTCCTAATGCACTGAAGTTTTTGTGTTTAAGAGATTGACTGAACTGTGCCACTTTTCTGCTCTAACTCGTTTCACCTGTTAGAACAATTAAGTGCTATAAATAAGTTTCTCTCGATTTAGAAACATTATAAAAAATTGTAAACAAAATAAAGATAGAATTATTCAGGGAGAGTTTATAGAAGCTTGTTGTTTTAAACACACTACGGCACTATAATCAGATCTGCTAAATCTCTGAATTACCAATAAAAACCAAGTGAAAATAACCTAATATATTGTTTATTTCATTCACTGAATGTAGCTGTTGGACAGCTGTTTCTGTAGAGCAATATATTAGCTTGGATAACTGTACGTGACTGACAGAAGTTGGGTGTTGATTTTAGCCCTAGAAGCGACAATCTCATACCTGGATAATTACTGGGCTTAATTTATAATAAGAAGCTAACAAAGCTTTCAGCTGTGTGCATTCGATTCACAGCTATCATATGAAAAAGATTTGAGTTTGACTTTTAGTATAAAAGCTAATAAGACTAGCTTAAGGCACAATCTTATTAAACTTCACATTCATGAATATTCTGGCAATCTTCCTTGCAAGTAAAAATAATTTGATCTTAGTAGGTAACTAGACCCAGATTGAGCTTGAGATAGGATGGGCAATCATTCGGATTTTATTATATAATGTGCCTTGTCATAGATAGTATATACATCGCCGGTTATGCTAATTTCTTCTGTATTAACATTTCCAGGTTCTAACAAGCGATACTGTTTTCTCTGCTCCTATGAGTGAAACATACAATCTTCTCGGTGCGGAGCCAAAAGATATAGTCACATTGGAGAAATATTTGCAGGATTACTTCACAAACATATTGAAGAAATTGAAAGACTTGAAAGCCCAATCAAAGCAAACGGATATTTTCATATAAAGTTAAAATCCACTATATATGAAGTGTAAAGCTATATTATGCTTTCTCAAGCTTCACTCTTGGCCAAAGCAAATCTTAACTCATAGCATTCATTTTTATTCAATTTCCAATTTACTTTTTTTCTGTATTTTCAGAGTACCATCTGAATTAGGCATAATCATACACCAAAGTAGCAAGAAGAACCCTCATCCTCCATTGGAGGGTACTCCAAAAATGGGAGGCTAGAAGAACTTTAACTGAATTTGTGTGTGCCCTCATCCAAAGGAAGAGAGCACTCCAAAAATTGGCGTATGCCGCTATTTGCGGCTAGCACACGGTATTCTTTAGTAAAAGGCGAAAGAATAGTTCGCTTTGTGCTAACCGCGCGGCTGCGTGATTTTGGCATCTGTATCGATAGGACTTTAAAGAATACCGACTCAAACTGCTTCCTTCAAGTATTCGATGTGGGATTTGAAACACAAACACATACAACGGAAGACTCCTTGTCCAACGCCACAAGTGGAATTGGAGAAATTCTTCTTTAAAGAAAAAACAAAATATGAAAAGTGGCTTATTCAGAACTTCTATTAGACGTATTTTGTAAAAGAAATTTTAGTATTTTTAATTAGCTTATACATAGAACTAAACATGAGTTGGACAGAATTTGAAATTTTTTAAAATCACGACTCGCATATTTATTCATAAATTTACATTTACAATCCGCCTATGAACGATTCTATTTAAAATCATAATTTTGAAGGAAGATAATTTTCCTTTTCAAAAGATAGAATTCTTATTCAAATATTGGCAAATTCATTATAATAAAAGGAAAATGCATATATACTAAAAAAAAAGGAAAACACACCTATTAATTCACTGATTATCTCTAATTGTCAGTTAATAAACATTGTGACCCTCACTGTAGTCACAATTGACTATTTTAATTTACAATTTTTATGTAATTTTTCTCATATTTAATAATAAAATAAAAAGTATATGAAATATTTATAATTATAAATGTTTTCTATAATTTTACATATGAAAATTTTAATATTTCTAATATAATAACTATAATGACAGAAAATAATTTTTTTAAGGAATATTTTTTAAATAATAATTTTTCTCAATAAATATGTTGTTTTCTGCGAAACTAATAGGAGGCCAAGTTTATGGAAACGTTTCTGGCCGGTTAGTAAGGCTTATGATTTTGGGCTTTCCTTTGGTAAATGGACATATACAACCAACGGCAGAGGATTCCAACCCAATCCAAATCAACTTCAACAGTAAGATCTTAGTGTCTCTCTCTGGTGCAATTAATAATCCTTTACAAATCCCTAAAGATGTGTTAATGTGATAGAGCAAGTAGCTAGATTAGAAGCGAAACCACAAATCGCAGGACCAGTATGAGATCAGACCAACCAATCTGCGACTGCTGAGGATTCTATCCAATAAATCCTCCAGGCATGAATTTGCATGGCCAACTAAAATGCTATAATTTGATGAAATGGATCAATAGCTGTATAAAATCATTGTCGAAATTTCTTGTGATGGTCAATTGTTAACTTTACGTTCCATAAAAGACAATCTTTTCCAATCTCTTGAGGAAGAAGTCTTTGCCAAATACCTATTTATTACTTAAATGCCTACCAACTATTTCTTGGTTGTTAAGCAAAGCATCAAACTCCTGGACATTCTTCGATTTCGAAAATTACTAGATCCACATGATAATTGATTTTTATTTGCTAAAACTAATCTTTGGACCTGAGCCAGACAAAAAGCGGCATTCAACTCACCCATTTACAAGGTCTTTTCTACTTTTTATACGGAGAATGAAAAGTTTGGAGAGTGCTATTCAAAAGCAGAATTATGTTTTACTATGCACCCCCCTCGATAATATTCTGGTCTATGCAGCCTCAGGATTTCTTAATTGCGAGTCCTAATAACAAATGCTCGACCAAGCCATGGAATCTTGAATCCAACAAGCCTTCTTCTTCAAATAATCTACTAAATTGACGACACATATTAAATCTCGTAGAGACTCCCTCTTTAATATTACAGGAAAACTCGACGCATAATTTCATTTGAGTTTGTTTGTAGGTACATGAGGATTTAGAAGTTAGCGAAGTGACTTCTTGAATCAGTTGAACCATCATACTGGTCGAATATTGGCATCTTAAATTTTAGAGGCATGGAGGCAATTAATATGTAAGTTGATAACTCTAGCTAGAGCGAATAAGGTGCGTCTCATCTCGACATGAGGTGTCGGATCTACCTTCTTGATCTACATCACATGAGTTTGCTCATGTCTGTTTTGGTAAATCCACGAGATTTCAATTTCGCAAGTTATAGGATGTGGTTGGGTATTTTCGGATGGCGAATTTTGGTTCTTTGGATGTTCTGCTATTAGTAATTGTTGATTGGCTATCACCTAAGTGAGCTTCTCTTATCAATATTTTCAACAGGAGTGGTGTTACTAGTATTTTCTCCTATCTAGATAGCCCTGTTATTGTTTACGGATGCGGTGCCGATGCCGCTGCAATTATCAGTTTGAATCTCATTAACAGCCAGATTCAGATTGTTGGTCATCATCGCTGAGAAAGATTTGCGAAGAATAGATAGGACCGAAAGAAATTCGATCGTATTCCACGCCCACCGCAGCAATTGATAGTCTTCAAGGTATCAAAGACTACTTTTTTTTATAATTGATTGAATGTCTCTTATGATAATTAAGGCTATATATACATAGGTTTATTCTTGGACTCTTAAGTTAACGTCTAAATAAGAACACGTATACATTCCTATTTTAAATTTATATATCAAATATTTCATTAGTCACTGTAATCACAAGTGTTTTATAAGTAAATTCTATATCAATCCCTAGTGAATATTTATATTCTTTCAGCTACCATTCCTTGTTACTAAATTAGAAGTCTAGCCATTTTTAAAATCTAATTCAACATACACAAAGGTTTAGGATGAATTACTATTTAATCCATATATTATGGTGAAGAGCTGTATTTTAAAAAATTAATCTAAGAGTCCATTAGTTTTAACTTTGTCCAACTATCACATTACGTGTTAGACTTTCTGTTGACCGTTCTTGAAAATTGAATGTCAATTTTGTGTAAATTATTATTTAGTCAAGCATGATATAAAAGTGTAAATAATAATAAAAATTATTATTTCAAAAGTTATACTAGTCAAGCATCAAATCAATATTTTGTATATAAAAATATTACTAGAACGAAGATGTGTATAAAATTATTTATTTGGATATTTTAAACATGAACGAAATAATAATTGACCAGAACTAAATGGCACAACATGTTTCAGACTCACAAGAATCTTTGATTGTGCTTTTATCTAATTGCCCTTTATAACTACAATAGATATCATTTTATTTGCAATCATTGTTTCTATTGAAAAATAGGCAGTTCCCTTTATAACTATATTGATTGAAATCTTACACATTATACACTTGGCAAGTGTATTATGTAAACGGATGGTAAAAAAAAAAAAAAAAAAGAAAAAAAAATGAAATGAGAAAAAAGTACCATGGCATGGAGCGGGATCAAACTTGTGTCCCTGCATCGGCGGTGTGCTCACATACCATCCAAACCAATGGTCCTCATCCAATCATGCTGTGTCTCGAAACAATAATATCTAATATGTTGTTTTTCACAGAAGAGATGTGCGATGAAGTTGATTTTAAAAAACAAAAACTTAATATGAATGTGATGCCATGAGCAATGATGTATATATAATCCATATATGGACTGATTCTCTCAGCGTGACAACTTTTCTATCTAAGGATCAAACTCGAAACCTTTAATTAAAGGAGAAGAAGCCTCAACCATTCCATTCCACGCAACATTGATGATCATCTTTCACAAGTATTTGATATACAACCAATGAAGATGAAAATAAAAGTTACCTCTTAATAATAATTGCTCCCATCAAATAATTCTTTTTTGTTATGTTAGATAGTGATCATTAAATTAGGAGAGAGAATGTGAATTTTTAAATTTAAAATTTTTTTCGCTCTCTATTAACTAAAGTTTTATCGAATTACCATCATTAAGTAAGAGAGAGTATAAATTTCAAATTCAAATTTAAAATCTCTTGTTTAATTAACAAAAATTTTTAAAGGTACGATTCACATTCCACTTATCAAAATTGGAGTTGAGCTAGAACTTTAGCCATATATTTTTATCGATAATAATTTGTGAGTGACTTTTACCAAGGAGAGACTTTGTCCACATCAGAATTCCACCATGAAATTGCTTCCATGATTGCCTTCATCTGTCTCTATATGTAATGGTATTATATAGGTATGGTGCCCCAAAAATAAAGTACTTATTTTCCTTACAGTGGGACCCCTCATCCTAATACGCTCCAACTTGGAAACCCTAAAAGTCCCATATTATATGAATTTTTGTTTCATATATATTTTAAAATAAAAGGAAATATGATTCTGCTATGACTAACTTTTCCATATTCCTATAAGAACCAATTGTAAAAGGAGGGATTCTGCAGAAAGTCTACAATACTTTAATAGATTGGTGAGGATATTCTCACACACTGGATTCTCTTATTGACTTTGATTTCAAAATCACATTAATTACTATGATTTCTCGTCTAATTAACCTTGATTAACACATCATGACATTAATTAAAACTCATTGATTTGAGAATCTATTATAATTACAATCTGTTTATTCTCTTCTACTTTACAGTTTTATGATTCAAACCACCATTTGACTAATATATAATTCAATGATTGACTGTATATCTTATAATATTATGGATTAGGGTTGAAATCTTCAAAAACATTCTCCCATTTAGTAATTTATATATGCTGAAATAATATTATGATTAAAATTTCATTTTTTTTAAAAAAATACATAAATTATCCCAAATACTTTAACAGAAAAATGTACTGCACTCTAAATTTTTTTTTGAAACACCCATGAAGTTATAAATTTTAATAAATTACCTATTGTTTTTAACAAATTACATACAGCAATATCAAATTTTAAGGGTTTTGGCTTTTATATGCAAAATCAATTTGACCTGAGGTTAGTATAACTTTTAGAATAACAAATTTTATATTTTTTAATTATTTAATAAATATTCAATTAAACTAGT